GAACGTTGCACGCAACAAGGGACGCAAGCATGTAATTACCCAAGGAATGGGTGCGCTAGCTGAGGAAGGTTCAGTTTCCTGGCTTCATCGAAGTGCTTGCGCAGTTGCTTCTGCTTCCTTAGTGGTAGTAGGCCAACCAATGCAGGGTTAAGTGGTCTCAAGGCGAGGCAACAGGGCGCAGGTGGAACGCGTGACAGGTTTCGGTTTCGTGCAACCGTTGACAAGCGCATCACTGTAGATTCTCATGATGCCCTCTTCCTCTGCTTTCAAGGATTTGCTCACGGCGCTGAGCCTGTCCATCATCCTCGGCGTGTGAGTTAAGTTTCACAATCCGGAACCCTACAACCCTAAGCCCTTGAAAGAATCTTCAGGTTGTCTGTGTAGCAACTAAGACATAGTCGCTTGCTGGTGCTCCGTAGGCGTTGGCATAGCCGAGGCCGCTATGTCGGTGCGTGCGTCGTCGAGTTTCTTAATGCGCTTCTGAATGCACTTGCAGATCCTGTCACACAACTGCATGGGCTGCTCCTTCTCCACGTCGGGGAAGGAAAGTTGCTTGAGAATCTTTTCTCGCTCCGCACCATCATCTTCGTCAACGTCATCACTTTCTTCATCATCATCGTCGTCTCCTGGGAACTAGAAGTGCTGGGAGCCGAAGGTTTGGCTTGGAGTTTTCCGCCTGGGGTTAAGCTTTGGGTTTAGCGCTTAGAGGTGACTGATGGCTGACTGCGCAGAGAAAGTTCGGGCTTTGAGAATGAAGGATATATGATTCGACGGGTTGTGGTTTAGCTTGATGCAGTTTCTGGGAAGCAGCAAGCGAGGTAACACCGAATAATCCAAGCATCCTGCAGCGGGAGCCCACTTACAAGTTTAGGGTTGTTAGTTTTGGGTTGTAGGGCAGTTTCGGCTCTCCGTTATGGTTTTTCCTTAGGTTTTGGGCTAGTTTTAAGATAGGGGGATAAAAAACATAAATATAAGTGCGAGATATCTGCTTTTTTGGCGTTTTTAGGGTTTAGGATTTAGGGTTTTAGGGTTTAGGAGTGAGCAACCCCGAATTTCTGGGCCCCCAGGCCCCGAAACGCTAAACCGCCTAAACCCTAAACCCTAAGCCCTAAGCCCTAAGCCCTAAACCCTAAACCCTAAACCCACAACCCAAAAACCTAAACACACCCTCAACCTAACCCTCAAACCTCAACTCTAAATGAACCACCCTCTAAAACAAAATGGCTGAGCCTTTGGGTTTCTCAAGGAGGGAGAAGTCATCTTCCAGCTCAGGCATGCTGTCTTCGTCGTCCATCTCTTGCTGCTCGAGGTGCTCCGTGATGGTCATTTTGGTGCGCCTTGGGATCGGAAAAACATGTTTCACAGTTAGGCTGTGCAAACTGAAGTTGTGCTTGAGAACAAGGGTGTAGGGTTTAGACCTGGTATACTTACACATGCGGGCCGAGACTCTTCTTCATTCCATGGATTTTCCGAGCCGCCCAGTAAAGCCAGCCCTCACCATAGTCTGACTTCCTGGTAGACAGCACAAAAATAAGCAAACCCACCCAACCCCAATAACCTAAAGCCGACAAATGCCCAGCCTTCATAAGGACTCCTGCAAACAAACGCCCTCATCCCGAAATCCTCGGAAGCCGTTTAGGGTTTAGGGTTGTGTATACATTATTATTATTATTATTATTATTATTTATTAGTATTATTATTATTAAATCGCTATCAAGTGGCCCAGCGAACATGTTCAGGGCAAACTGGTTTTAGAATGGTTAGAACGGAACGGCTTTGCAGTTGTGGGGTCTGCAGGCGAGCAGTCCTTGTTATAAGGTTCGGAATCTCCTGCAAGTTTGCAGTCATGACCCCCACTAAGCCGCTAAGTTTTTTCAGTCATTAAGGTTTAGGGTTTAGGGTGGATTGATCACTTACCCATGCACGCCCTGAGCCCTGACATCTTAGGCTTATTTTCTGGGCTGCAGCGGCCTGCGGAAGCCTGGGCGAGAGGAGCAATACTTCTTGATGCCTGCCATTTTCTTCCTGAGCTGAGCAGCGCGCTTACTGCAAACAACAGTTCCCGAATTGGGTTGGAATCTTGGGGTTCCTGGGTTGCCTTCGAGCCTCGCGCTGAAATTCGCGGCTTTCATATCGTCTTCCGACATGAACTCGTAGTCGGTCTGCATGGACTGCTCTTCGATAGCACGGTGGATCTGGGTCACCTTCCTGATGAAGAGGTCCTGCAAGTAAAACAGTTTGTAGGGGCTTAGGGCTTTGCGAAGAAGGGGATGCAGGCACGCAAAAACAGACAAGGAAACACCAATGCAAATAGACAGACTGACCGAACAACAGACCGTGCTGGCGTGCTGGCGTGCTTTTGCGCGGGCGTGCTTTTCCGTATGCGTGTGTGCATGGGTGTGTGTGTGTGTGCGTGCGCAGGCGTCAGTCAGTCTGTCTGTCTGTCTCTGTGTGTGTGTGTGTGTGTCTGGGTGCGTGTGTGTGCACAGACAGAGAGATG